CCCCATTTATGATAAGAGTCAGGGTTACAGCAAGAAACGCGCATAATACTTTCATTGGATCAAACCGACTTAAACCGACCCTGAACTCCTCCGTGAAAAAAGGCGTGGCACGAATTTAAACAATGATTGCATGAATTTTTTTTTATTTTTTCTATTTTCCGAAAAAGGAAAATAAAAAGAAAAGACACGTGACGTAACTTATTATCACTATCATTATTATTATTATTGTCGTTTCGGTACGAGAAACAAAATGGACGGTTTTTGATTTCGAATTTTATTTAAATATAAATCAGTAGGTCGTGACTGAGACTTTGGTATTAATTTATGTAACGAGTAATTATTAAAAAAAATTATTAAATAAATAAAATAAGTTATTATTATTATTATTAATTGAATTGCATCATCGGATGTTTGTTTACGCGGTGGAATTTCAAAAAAAATTAATAATAATAATAATAATAATAATTTTCACTTGTTTGCACACGAGAAAACGCATAACGTTCGTATATTATTATGTATTTATTTATTAATTTTTATTTGGTTTTAATTTATTATTATTATTATTATTATTCACTTTTTTTGCCTTTCGGTCTTTTACACTTGATGTATGGAGTTAGTTAGCAGACGAAAAGTTACGTAATAACAGGAGCTTTAAAATTTTTGTGATAATTTTAAATGTAAATATTTAATTGTTGTATGAAAGTTAGTTTGTTGAGTCTTTCGGGAATTATTATTATTAACACGGTTCGTTGGTTTGCTAATAACAAGATTGTTAAGTTATCATCATCATCATCATCATCACAATCGTCATTATTATTATTATCATGTACGGAAATTTTTCTCTCTCTCTCTCTCTCTCACTCGTAATAACCGAGAATCATTGAAATGATTTTCCGTTTAAAAAAATTTTTTTTTTTTTTGGAACGTTTAAATAAAAATTACCGCATGGGAAAATTTTTTTTTTTACAAAACTTACGAAAAACAAAAACACTTCCTTATTATAAGTAGTAATTAATTTATTAATTTATTTATTCATTCGAATTTAAAACTAAATAATAATAATAATAATAATAATAATAATAATATTTACGGTTGTTTACTTAAGGCAACAACAAACGAAAAAGTTTTTTTTTTTTTTTTTTATAAAAAACTGGAACGTTTTTTGAGAGCGAGCGTGTGACGTATTAAATCTTTCGTAAAAGTTTATGAAAAAAAAAATTAGTTATTCGATTATGCATATGAAGAACGACGATAATAATGATAATATTAAAAAAAAATGGCGTAAATGAATCGAACGGATTTATTGTCCGGGGGGGAGAATGATGATGAGTGCTGCTACTGCTGCTACTGCCAAACGTTCGACAGGTTAATATACATTTCTGGAGAAAAAAAAATAATAATAATAAACGTTTGAATGGAAAAATAAATAAGAAAAGCGACATTTTCCATCTGAGAAGTGTATTATGGAGTAAGAAATTCCATCCTCCGCCATTTTTTTTTTTGGTTTTTCTTGTTCAGCCATTACTCACCGTCGATGAATTTAGTTTTTCTCTCTCTCTCTCTCTCTTTTCGGAGAGTAAAAGGGTAATAAAATTTAATAACAATTCAATAATTCTTTATGCGTCTAACAACATTCATTACTTTCTCTAAATGTTTTAAATTGGTTAAACGTGAGATATCGTTACATTTCCAGATGACTAAATGAGATTCGGATCGGAAATCTCGGATGTGTATTCGTTCGGTGTATTCGTGCTGTTTGGTTGGTGAAAATGAATGTTTGGTTGGCAGCGCCGAGTGTATTTAAAATCTCATTGTAATTTTGATTAATATTCGACTAAATTATTATCATTAATATTATTGATGTAGTCGTCTGCTATCGTGTGTTATATTTTATTAGGAATTTATATTAGTAAAATTATTTATTTCTTCTCGAAATCAACATTTTTTTTTTTTTTTTTTTTATTATAAATTTTTCTAATGTTGGCAGTACTTACCGATCGTTATTAAATGAAAAAATTTTAACGTTTGAGGGCTTTGAACGCGTCGTGTCAAATTACGATTTACGAAAACCGTTACTCATTATAATATTATTTTCATTATCATCATCATCATCATCATCATCATTAACCTTTCATCCGGGAAATTTTTTTTTTTTTTTGGTTCAAAGCTCCATTTGACACACTCGTGACTAACGTATTTTTGTTCGGAACGCGCACGCGCACACACACGCACGCACGCACGCACGGTCGCGAAAATATTTTTTTTAATAACTGTGAATGAATGAAACTATGTATGAATTTTATCCGAAACCATTAATTATTTATTTATTTATTTTATCAAAAACTATAAATAAATAAATTGTCAGACGGTATAAAAGGAGAAAGAAAGAAAAAATAAATAAATTTAAGTTTTGATTTAAAAAAATTATGGAAGGAGGAGAAAGTTTTTCGATGGAAAAAAAAAAAAAATTAATTATATTTATAGTCCGCTATAATATTTATAGTCTGGTAAAGGAAAAGAAAAATTTTTTTTTATTTCTCGACTTTCATTAAAGTTAAATTTTGTGGAAAATATTATAATTTTTTTTTTTTTTTTTATAAAAGATATTTTCGTAGTTGTTGCAAAGAGAAAAATGTTTTTTTTTTTTTAAATATATAAATTTTATTTTATTGGGTCGATGCCTGGAGTCAAGTTAATAAATTTTTATTAACTTTATATATATATATATATATATATCGGTTTATCATTATTATTATTAATAATTATTATACTGGGGAAACGAAGAGGGGGGGTGGGAAGTACGGTTCGAGGAAGAAGGTGGGAAAAAAGAAAAAATTTCCCTGGATAATTTAAATAGTTAAAATCATATCAAGGTGTAATTTCTGGAGAATTTCCCTTCCCCATTACCGAAAACGGTAAAAATATTATTAATATTATTATTATTATTATTTGAAAATGTAGGCGGTACCGGACGTAACTGGAACTTCTTCTTTCCAATAAGTTTTTTTTCAAAATCGTATTGATATTATTTCCCCTTAAGCGTTTTATTTATGCTTTCACCACGTCTGGAATCATTTTTTTTTTTTTTTTTTTTGACTTTTCACGTTCTGGAAAAACAACATTCGAACCACCTTATGACCTTTGACCTTTGCCTTACTAACCCATTTTTCCCTTTCACATTTTCCGATCGATTCCCCCTATATATAATATAAATTTTTATTCGAACGTATTCGATTGCGCTTTTATTTTATTTTATTTTTATTTTGAAAATATTTGCTTTTTCCCGCGAAAAAAAAAAAAAAATATCGAACGACCGGAAATGAAAATATTTATCGTTTCCGATTTTTTTTTATTTTCTAATTAATTCTTTTCTCTTCGTTTTTTTTCATCGTAAATTCGTGATGAAACTCGATACTTCTTTTCCAAACGTTTTCGGTATTATTTATTATTATTATTTTTATCCCGTGATTTTGTTTGGAAATTTATCGGGGGGGGGGAAAGGGGTGGGAGAGGGACCAAGTGTAAAATTTAATATAAATAAAATCTGTAAATTTACCTTAATTTTTTTTTTTTTTTTTTTTGTTAATGAAAAAGTGAAAAGAGGAAGAAAGTACTTTCTAAAAAATAATTTTTTTTTTTTTTAATAACATCTCGAATGTTTATTATTATTATTATCACTACTGCTACAATTATCATCATCATCATCATTATTGATCGTAATTAAATTAAACAACTTGATTTGATATAATTTTTTTAAATTTAATAAATCATCATCATCATAATCATAATCATTTAATACAATTATTTATTTATTTTTTATGTGTATACGAAAAAAAAAATTAAAACAAAGGTAAAAGGATAAAGAAAGAACGAGAGAAAGAAAGAGAGAAAGAAAGAGAGAAAAAATATTTAAAACTTTTCCTTTTTTTCCTTTTTCTTTTTTCTTCCTTTTTTAAAGTTTTAAAAAATTATACAAAGGAAACTAAATTATTTTAATTTTTATCATTAAAAAGAAAGAAAATAAGGAAGAGATTAAAAGCAATTAATTTATTTATTTTTAATTGTTTTTCACTCTTTTTACTCAGTAAATAATAATTATATTTATTATTGAATATATCGATCGATTTATCGATTTATATATCGATCGATTAATCGATTTTATTTATTTAAACAAAAAAAAAAAATGTAAATTTTTACATGTTGAAATTTCTTTAATTATAAATGAAATAAAGTCGAGGGAAGTGAAAGATTTAATTAAATGAATAATGGAAAAGATTTTTATTTATTTATTTATTTTTCTACAACTGCTACGATAATGATGATGATGATGATGATGACGATGGTGGTGGTGGTGGTGGGGGTGGCGGTGGTGATATTTTGCGTGGTGATGTCCGTGTTTCGCGGCACGTATTAGTACAACGTCGGATTTCGCGCCAAAAATTTCAATCGTAATAATAATAAATTTCATTCATTTAATTAAATCTTTTTTTGTTCCTGGGAGGAGAGGAAAGGGGGAGGAGCAAGGAAGAAGGGGGAGAAGGGGGTGGTGAAAAAAGAAGTGAAAGAAAATAAAAGAAAAAGACAAAGACAAAGACATTACGTATGGTTTATGATTTTGGAAAAATCGAACAAGACTCTTTAACTCTTTCCAAAACCTTCCATTTTTATTATTATTATCATTATTATCGTGTTCGTTCGCGAAATTCGAACGATGTTTCTCAGTACGTTTTTTCCCATTATCATTATTATTATTATTATTGTTATTAACTTTTTTTTTTTTTTGAATTCTCGCGTGCCAAATTATCCGGATGAAAATATATATATATATATATTTTTTTTTTCTCCTCCGGATAATTTTCTTTTCCGTTTCATTTTAAAGTACATTTTGAAATTTCTGGAAATCTTTTTTTTTTTTTTTTTTTGAGAGAGAGAGAGAGAGAGAGAGAGAGAGAGAGAGAGAGAGATATGAAAAACGTGATTAGGGAGAGGTTAAGGGTAAAGAGAGAAAGACGAATAAGATGATGAAGAAGATGATGAAGAAGTGATCGTTAATCGTAGCAAAAAAAAAAAAAATTTTTTTTTTTTTTTTTCCAGTAATTAAAGACTCTTTAATGTTAAT